CAAGGAGTTATGAAATGGTCAAAGAGACCGAAAATTTGACCGAGAAAGGAGAGTTCGGTCCACACGCTTTGCCCATTTCTGATCGGTTCCTGAAGGAGACATTGGGTGCCTCTTGGCATTGGCAGATCGGAATAAACCCCTGACACGTTTCTGCCATAAGCCTTATGAGGTTACCGCGGAACCGCAGAGCAAGGCTCCTCACTTGCTTCGCGCCGGGTGTTTCATTCATTCACAGAAGCTCACCGTAGAGTTAGTAAAGTACAGCGGAAAATGTGTTCGCTAGGAGAACAAAGAACTAGAGCTCCAAGCGTCCTCACCTTGTCCTGAAGAATCCCAGACGAGCCCCCAAGATGAAAGGTTGTTGCTGAATCACAAAAAGACACCGGGATTCTTGGCCTCCGGAGGAAAAGAATTCAACCCAGGGCCAGAGACGAGGGTTGATCACTCAGAGCTTTTGTGCAATAGAGTTTTATTAAAGTATAAAGGAGATAAAAAAAGCTTCTGACATAGACATCAGAAGGGGGCAGAAAGAGTACCCCCTTGCTAGTGTTAGCAATGGAGTTATAAAGGATGTCTTGAGGTTGTAAAGACCTCACTAGACCTACTCCCATAATTAACATTTTAAGATAAACAGGATTAGCCAGAAGGTTTTTTCCAGAGACTGTCCTCAAGCAGGATACATTATTGTTATATAATCCTAAGGAATGTAGAAGGACAAAAAAGTTTGTCCTTTCTTCCTCCTTGAGAATTCCTGACCCCTCTCTCCTTGGGGACCCCCGGACTTCTTTTCAACTTCTCTAGGAAATGACTCTCTCATTGTTTAATTGTATTGTTTTATTTTATCAGCATTAAAGTCAGAGGAGCAGCTCCTCTTATTATTCCTTTACCTGTTATAACATAAAAATGGTGACCAAGAAAGACTTTTTGTTTTCTCCTTTATACTTTGATCAAACTGTGACTTTAGACATATGGATAAATATCAAAATTTGTATCAATGTTATTTAGACACTGAGGGCTGTTTTAAAGAAAGGGTAAGTGGAGTGATATTTGTCAATACTCTGTGATATACATCCCCATTAACTTACCATCGCAACAGCAACTTTAATGCTGTTGTTATTAACATTTTGCTTAAAAGAAAACTGATAACAAATAAGTTTTATTTGCCTGGAATCATACAGAAACTTCACAGACTGCTCCTGTGTGACTCCTGCACAGTGACACCAGTGACACTCTTTGCTACTATACACAGCAAACATTTCTAAGCTGAATCTCAGTATTGTATCTTTTACCTACCACTTGACTGAATATTGAAAGATGTCAATGGATACAAAATAAAGTGATAGTAAGAATGTGGTTTTCAGGGAAGGAGAGCAAAACTATAATGACTAATATTTACTAAGTGCTTAGTGTTAATATATTTCAGGCTCTGGTGTACATGTTTTTCATTACTTAATGCAAGTAACATCTGTAGCATGGACATTATTCTAATCTCCATTTTTGGGGAGAAAAATACTGACTGTGGAAAAGATTAACAGACATGTCTAAGATTGCAGCTGACAAAAGACCAGACGTTGGATTTATAGATTCTGATGATATATATCCAGGCTGTTCACCCAATCCTATGTTGGTACTAGTGGAGATGAAAAGGAAAAGTAAATGTAAATAAAGTGTTTGTACAATTATCCTTTTTATTCATTCAGTGATAGGTGGCATTCATTAGTTATTGAGATGGAAGGATCTAAGAAGTAATTTACAAAGCTATGCTAACAATGATGGGAGCATTGTAGATGAAATTCAACATCCGCAAGCCCCATTTGAAACACTGGGTTGTATTTGATCATCTTTTAAAATGTGATCTTCTGCTTGAATACACCCAGTGAGGTTAGATATTTCAGGATCTTGAAAGCCAGACGGAAAAGTCTAAGTTTGAGGTTGTAAAGAGGAGGAAGCTCTTGAATATCTCCTCAGGAAAGTGACGTGATCAGAGTGGTGCTTTAGAAAAATTGATTTTGTATTTCCATGCCATATGGATTCATACTTAGTGGGCTGTCCAATAGAAGAGGAAGCTGAGAGCCACTAATGGCATTGCAGGAAGAAGCATATGGGGCATAGGCTTTGGAGTTCACAGTGCAAGCAGGAATGAAGAGATTTTGTTGTTCAGTCACTTAGTGCTATCTGACTCTTTGCGACATCAAGGACTATAACATGCTAGGCTTCCCTGTCCTTCACTGTATCCCAGAATTTTCTCATTTTAAGAATTAAAATGCAATAAAAATAAAAATAACTTTGTGACAAAGGCTGATGTATATATCAGAGGTAGGATCAAGGATGAATGTGATTATAAAACAATTGAGAAAGTGGAGAGAAGAATTAGAGATGTTAGTTCAGATGTCAGGCACTATTCATTTGGCCAAAGTCTGTACCTCTGTATCATATTTTTAATTGCTGAAAATTGTATCATATATTTCATATGTTAAAATTGTTTCATATATTTCAAATACGAAAATTTATCATATATTTCCTTAGGCCTGAGTATAGCCCATCACTTTTTTCAACAGTACATCTTGTATATATATATATATATGTATATGTATATATGCTTGCATGTAAAAATTGTATATATCAAATATTTTTTCCTTTCCTCAAGAAATTCATAATTTAGTAGTCAGTGGGTAGTTGGACATATAAAATCAGGATGGAAGATTTTAGAGCTGCAAATTACAAGCACACTTTTCTTTTTAGTCAGGTAACAGAAAGAAGAGGCCAACAAAAAATAAATATAAATGAAAACCGAGTTAAGAGGTCTGAGAATAGATAGAAACAATACCCACTCACCTATACTTTTGTGATGGTACGCTTATGCTAGGATTAAAGGCCGTACCATGTCTGAGTGTGCAGCTTAGCAAATGGTGCATACTTCTGTACTTAGGGTAGGAACCCCAAACTGTGTACATTCCATAGGGTCAAAGGTGGGAGGCCAGAAGAATCACTTCTCTCTCTCTCTGCATGCGTGCTCAGCCTCTCAGTCATATCCAACTCTGTGACCCCTGGGCGGTATCCCACCAGGCTCCTCTGTCCATGGGTTTGTCCAGGCAAGAATACTGGAGCAGATTACCATTTCCTACTCCAGGGGATCTTCCTGACCCTGGGATCAAACCTACATCTCCTGCATTGGCAGGCAGAGTCTTTACCTCTGAACCACCTGGAAAGCTATTCCAGCCTCCACTAGTACTTAAACCTTTTCTTTTGAAATGTGTCCTCAAACTAAATGTTATTGCTGTGATGCCCAACATAGTCCTAATTGATGTTACAGAGTCACTCAACATGGAGTCAGTCTTATGTGGAACAATCAATGTGTGTGTGTTTTCCTTTTTCTGCAAACTTTAGCTCAAACCTATAGATGAAAAGAACCTTTGGTTATAACCTAGCAATTAAAGAAACTTCGCTTTACCGTCTAAGCCACCAGAGAAGCCCCCAAAATTATAGTAATGTTTATATATGGCAGTTTAAATAAATTATTAAGATAATTTAAAATATCTATTTCCAGGTAATATTTTCATAGTTGTATGACTTTGGGATGCATCAATATTCTGCACATTTCTGAACCTTAGAGTTTTAGTATAATGTACTTCATAGGATTTCCAAATAATTTGCAGTCACTAATTAGAGCTGAAATGTACACTGTTGCATTTCTTTACAATATTAATATCCAAAAGGCCATAAACCCGACCTCTTGGCTCTTGCCCAGTGTCATTTGTAAGGCGTATTTTTATGTGATCTACAGCGCTCTCTTTTAACTCTAGCAAATAAGGCACATTTGACTCAACAGCCATTAGAGATTTTTATATGAATGTTTGATTATACTGAAACAAGAATTTACATTTACTTCATTATTTTCAATCAAGTGATTTTCTTTTTGTAAAGGTGATTCCCGAGATGGAACTATATACTTAATTTATATATTTATAAATACCTATATATAATTTACCTAAATTATATATATTTCTAATCTTTATGATTTTTTTCAAATGTGATATTGAAGAAAGAGTGAGACTGAGAGTCAGAAGGGACAGAAAGAAATTCCTTTAATGCTTAACTTGTCTCTAATTGCTCATGTTTTCAGAGCAGAAGTTTCATTGATTTCCTCATCAAGACTTTTTTCTCTCTTATACTCTCCTGTTGCCTGTTTGGCCTTTCAGATAATTCTTTACAAGGCTTTGTGTACTAGAAAATAAAATGAAGTTTCACCCAAGGATATCCTCTCAAGGGTATCTTCTTGAGTTTGAAGTAATATGAGTAAAGGATTATTACAAAAACATGTATAAAAAAGATTTTGTAGCTGTTTCCTTTAATTGCAGGGATTAAAATGTAACTATCTCAACTAAAGGATTAAAACTTAAATATCTAACTTTATTTTAATTAAATGAGTCATAAGGAAAATTTTAAGATAGTTTAAAGTTTTATTTCATGACAATTTCTCTAAGCATTTGCCAAATTATTAATATAATTGTTATAAACAAAAGAAAATAAATCTCACATTTTCACTAAAGATAATTATTTATGTTAATAATTCAATAAAATATAGTTTTCTTATCTTTTACTTGTACCTGCCTTCTCTCTGTCTCTCTCACACACACACACACATACACACACTTATGAACTTGTTTTTCTTGAATGGAAATAAAATGCTTATATTGGATAGTAAAGACAGAAGTGAAACTATTCCCTTAATAAATGAAATTTATATTGGAAATGTATAATTATCAATGAAATTTGATATTGAATTGACTATTTTCTACAGTAATAAACATGAACTAGTGTATACTTTCCTGTAACTTAAAGAGATCATTCAGTGGTTTGTGCAAGCTTTGTAATTCAAATATATTAAGTGATAGAGACAGCAATTTTCCTTTATTCCTAGTTCTCAGAGCACCGTAAGTCTTAATAATGGCCATCCACATTACCTGGGTTATATTTCCTTTGTTTTTATTCCTTTGTAGATGTTCCATCAAGTCCCTATGGAGTGAAGATTATAGAGCTGTCACAGACCACAGCCAAGGTTTCTTTCAGCAAGCCGGACTCCCATGGAGGTGTGCCTATTAATCACTATCAAGTGGATGTCAAAGAAGTGGCATCAGAAACCTGGAAAATAGTACGCTCCCATGGAGTTCAAAGTGAGTCAATGATTTCAAAGCATGTTGGTTAATCCAAGCTGATCTTCAATATACCTGTATGATTAGCTTTTTATTTTCCCTTCAATGTCCTATTTTTATTTTAATGAGATAGGATGGGGAGAAATTCGCACTGTCCTGTTCATCTTAAGAATTCTTTAATAAAGAGTAGAAAACTTTCCATCTTTAGTAAAGTTTAAAGAGTTTTAGGAGTTCTCTGGAGGTCCAGTGGTTAAGACTCAGCACTTTCACTTCTATAGCCTGGAGTTCAGCCACTGGTTGGGGAACTAAGATCCCATGAGCTGCGTGGCATGGCCAAAACTAAGATTTAAAAAATAAGAGTTGAGCAAAATCACTGAAGGTTAATTCCAAGGGGAAAAAGTTTGTATTTAAAATTTGGGTGTTGGAAAAGAAATTGGTGATATGTTACACTTGAAAGCTGAATATTATCAGTTATCAAATTTCATTTATTGATAATATTTCTTTCACAAGTAGGTATGAAAGTCATACTGTAAAATATAGATGCCTTGCATATATACTTATGAAGCCACCTATACAACTTGACCTTGCATGCTAACATTTACTTCAAAATTATGTTTGAAAAACTCAGATTTTTACTGAGAGTCATGACATTTTGATTAATAGAATTAGCTAAATATGAGAAGTTAGAACAGTTTACAACACTTCTTTCCACTTATGTAGCATTTCCTCGTGTGAATGTGTGATATTTCTGCCACTATTAAGAGAAGAAACTAAACAGGAAATAATAGATTAACAGAGTTGAGCTCTGTTAATTGGGATATAGTATTTCCCTGGTGGCTCAGATAGTAAAGAACCTTCCTGCAATGCAGAAGACCCAGGTTCCAATCCTCGGTGGGGAAGATGCCCTGATGAATAGAATGGCAACCCGCTCTAGTGCTCTTGCCTGGAGAATTCCATGGACAGATGAGCCTGGCGGGATACAGTTCATGGGGTCACAGAGTCAGACATCACTGAGCGACTTATATACATATGCACAATTGGGACATAGAGTAATATCTTGTGGGCAGTGATATTATAAAATAGTATAATTTATAGTGATAAATAAAATAGTATAAAATAGCAGTGATAGTATAAAATAGTAAAGAAAGTATTGTTGCATAGTTTCCCTCTGCTGGCTCTGCCTTGACCCTAACATATATGATGTAAGGTTTCTATAAAAGGCATGAACCTTCCTGTGAAGTGTTCTAGTGGACAATCTGTTCTAGGAGACAGAACAGATAAAATCATTCTCGATTCATCTGTGTTGGCACAGATATGAAGACAAGAAATGTCAGATCTAGACATTATAGAAATTGCACTTGGCAGAATAATTACATTGCCAGACCCTCCACAAAGAGGGTAATCCCACTGGGACCAATCCTAGCAATCTAGAATATGTGTGTCTGGCATTTGTTCTCCCTTTAGCAAGGAGTTGTACTATTTTCATAAAGATATGGTAAAGATACAAAATAACATAAAGATCAGAATTGCAAATGCTTTATACTAATAGAACTTTGAAATGTGGAATGCATAATGATGGTTATGTTTACTATAAAATTTACATCAATAATTTGACTTTTAGAATATATGAGATAGGTTAGACTTAAACTTTCTGCCTTAAGCACACATATTTCATTGAGTCGTAATAGTTTCCTTTAAAAGGGACACTTCAATCTTGCTCACATTTTTGTCACTAGACAAGTTTAGGTCCTTTTAATAATGCCTAGAATTATTCTTATACCCTGGCCAACCTACAATATTCTCTCACGGTCACACCTGCTTTGGACGTGATTTCAAGCTAAAATTCTCTCTTCCCCAGAATGAGTGGCAAGAAAGGAACTGCATATTTCTTACATTACATTGTGTGTGTGTATATATATATATATATATATATATATATATATATATGTATATATATGTAATGACAGTCGCTCAGTCGTGTCTGTACCTGAGGCAAACCCTAACTATCAACTGTCTGAGTTACTCCCAGGCATCTTAGCTGAAATGTCCATATTTACTATAATATCCTCTCTATCATGTATCTATTTAAAATAAATTTAAAAGGCTGATTTCATGTCATAGAGCTCAAAATTTTGTTGAAGTTTGAGTTGTGAGACATAATAAAATCTGTAATGTGTGTTTCTATGTATAGTTATGAATATGTGTATACACAAACCTCAGAATTTACAATCTTATTTAGCATTATTTTTTCAATTGTTTTCCACAGCAAAGTATTTATATACTTTGAAGATGTTTTAAGGAACTCATATATTTTTGAATAAGGAAAAATGCTATTACTGTATACTTGTTTTATAATTTGTGCTATTAATTCATCTTAAAGTTTGAGATTTTTATGAACATAATTGTACTTATTGCCTTTGAGGCATTTCTTAGAAGATTGATTTAGGTTTATCTGTAAAAAGGAAGGTGCATATGGTCATGAACATTTCAGCTACTGCATCTTATTGCCCTCAGAGTGGTTTTATTCTTCTAATTTACATTAATTTAGTGTCTGTTTAGTTACTTTTCTGTGTATCTACAATTCATTATACACTATTCATGTATATAATTCTGATTGCCAATATCATAACCTAGACATAAATAGCAGCTCTTTCTTGATTGTGACATCATTCAGTAGGAAATTTCCTGTTAGTGGATTGTGATTCTAAATGACTCATTAATTAATCTTCTGTGAGTTTCACTTGCTCACTCTGCACCTGGTTTAGAGGGCAATTGAAGACTGGACCTATTATTATATTCTTCTCCAAGGCTTAACTAAACCCTTACTGATCATCCCAATCGTTGATGCGACACAAAACTAAATTTCAAAACATAGAGCATTGTGAGCAAATCAGATATCAAAAACTGATGGAATGTGAGTCATCCTAACATTTAACTTTGAGTGAAAATAATGTATTACAGGTGGAGTAAGACTTTTTGACTGGGAGGGCTACATGACATATTCATTACCATATCATTTAACATTTTGTATGTGTTATATATACCTCATTGGACACAAATGAAGAGAAAATAATAATCTTGCAAACAGCTACTCAATTTTCAGCCTTCAAACTGAAAATGAAAAATTAATATTTTAAAATATCAAGCTCTTAACAGAGAAGAATTCTCTCAAATAGCATAATCTATTTCTATTGATTTGTGAAATGTTTAGAACCACACATAAAATCACAGCTAGAATCACACACAAAAGTCCTTCCAGTGTAAACCAAAATTATTATACACTTTGCTTTATTTAGGTCTAAGCTTATAGTAGAATTTCCCTTTGTTACTGACAATAAGGGAGATAATTTTTATTTGAACATAAGAGCACTTTCTAAATAAAAATTCATTTTGAATTGAAACTTTTACTTTTCCAAGTTCTTTCCTTTTTCACTAATCAAGGGCTATAATAGACTATAATTTGGAAATAAATACCCTGTTGGATTTTTCAATCCTTTCATCGCATATTTCCATTGAACTTTAAATGTGGCTTTGCAGGATGCAACTTCATTGTGTATAGTTTAATTTATTGATGGCAATTTTAACATTAAATTATTTAGTTTGTAAACATTACGGTTAAGATTATGTGCATGCTTCATGTTACATATAATTCAAAGCTTTTAATGCAGGTTTTAGTATTAGTGAAAGATCAATTTTAATTAAAATTCAAAAGAAAAAAATAAATTTATATGGTAGAAAAAGCCACTTTCTTCTTTGAAAAGTAGCATTTAATAAGCATATTTTCCAAAACTGTTTTGAAGTATATGTTTGGATTTATAACATATAAATCTGTGTCTATAGATCAGCAAACTGTTTTGAATAGAAGCTTAAATTGAAGCAGATTGAAGATTAGTACTGTCCTACTATATTTTTTTCACTTTAACATTTATATTTTTTAGTTTGCTATCAATTTTAAAATTTCTAAATCCTTCATGATAGTCTGTTGTCAAAGTTGTTTCTGCTCCCTGATTTTTTCCTAGACTTATTTTGTTGTTGTTTTTATTTATTTTATTCTGTGTCATTCACACTGGAAAGTTTTCTCAGATATTTGGTGATCCTTGTCTAGATGTGTATACTAAAAAGTGAGAGGAAAAAAACACTAGGTGTTGTTTGCAAAGACAGGGCTTCTCAAGCCTTGTGATCAGTTTATTCAACAGCTCCTGGATTCTTCATTGGGGACTGAGGAACATATTGTATATGTATAATGCTATGTCTGCAGCATACATAATAATGTAAGAGGTCATGATTCTATTAAATTGTCAATTAATTTTTAATGAAAATGTACAGATTAGGCCTCTTTCAATCTGAATGTAAACTCAAAAAGAATAATCATTAGTGGAAACATTTTATTAATGTTATTACCTATAAAAATTTCTTCCATAGTCATTGTTGAGTATGAAACCGTTATGCTTTTGTTAGTATTTTAAAAGAATGCCAGTGATTATTTAAAATATAGAAGAAGAATAATGAGAATCAACATCATAATTCAACAAAACTAATCCCCTACACATATTTCTTCTAATGCATTTTGCCATATTATGATGTTATCTAAGTTGTCACATTCCTAAATTTATGAGTAATTTCCTATGTTATATTGTGGTACCATTAAAAATAAAGAACTCATTAATATGTTTTTGCTACTTAAAAATTTCCTTTTACATTTTTTTTTGGAAACACACCTCAGAACATATCCTTGAATATAATGTTAGCATACTTTTAGGTCCTTTCTGTCTCTGCTTCTTTCAAACGATATACACAGTGGTTTATTTTAACTTTAAAAATGAATTTCCTTTTTCCCCCTCTTATCTTTGTGTTTTTTTCTTTTGTATGTATGTTCTTGAAATGCATATTGCTATATATTTTCTTTTTCATGATATATTAGCAGATATCTTTCATAATGATTGAGTAAAGGATTCATGTGACCCAGTGACATGAATCTATGATAGCTAGCTCATGTTTGAAATGCTGTAATATACCATTTC